CAGCATCTTGGGAGGCAGAGAGGACAAAATGGCTAATGTGTCCCCGCCGCTGCTGCTCCCTCCACCAGGCCTCTGTCTAAGCAGCACCTCTCTCTCCTCTGTTGCTTCCCCCTCTGCCTCCAGACCCCCGGCCCCTTCCCCTCACATCTCCACCCGCTACAAGACCGAACTCTGTCGCACCTATGAGGAAAGCGGGATCTGCAAGTACGGCACCAAGTGCCAGTTTGCCCATGGCATGGACGAGCTGAGAGGCCTCAGCAGGCACCCCAAGTACAAGACAGAGCCATGCCGCACTTTCCACACGATAGGCTTCTGTCCATACGGTGCCCGCTGCCACTTCATCCACAACGCTGATGAGCTCCAGGCTGACAACGCCGCTGCACCTCCTCAGAAACAGAAGCTGAGGCCTCCTCTGCTGCGCCACAGCTTTAGCTTTGCAGGCTTCTCCTCCTCTCCACAGACTTTCCAACCAGTCGAGGAGTCGCATCCTTCCTCCCACCTCTTCGCCCGGGCCTCCTCTGTCTCCCCTTCTCCATCCTCCACAGGCAGCCCAGATCTCCTCTCCCCTCTCTTCCCTGAGCCAGGTGCACTGAAGCATTCCTCCTACCCCTTCTCTGGTATCACCGACCTGGCAGGAGACGGTGGTGATTCAGCCCTGCGCTTCTACGCAGTGACCGATTCTGTCAGCGCCAGGTGTCCCACCTCTACCTTCACCTCCAAAAACCCAAACCTCCCATACCACCTTCCCCAGCAGCTGCCGGTTTCCCTCAAGCCCCCCCCTGGACTTCAGCGCTGTTCCTCGGCTGACTCCCTCTCTGAGGAAGGCTACACCTCCTCCTGCTCCCTCAGCTCTTCCTCCAGTGGCACAGAGTCACCGAGCTTCGAAGGCCGGCGTCTGCCCATCTTCAGCCGGCTGTCTGTTTCAGACGAGTAGAAGGGTTTTACCATGGGGCTGAATTTAATCAGGGATAGATGCCCTAATTGTTTAACTCTATGTGACCAGAATCTGATGTTGGTCTTTTGTGGCCCACTCTAAAAACAAAAGAGCAATATAGGGTCAGTTTAGAGTTCAGATACAAGTTGCAAAGGATTAAAACAATAGGTTTTTATTTCCTTCCTAAATCCAGCTGGTAAACGTACCTAACTTTGTGCATATTGCATTTCTCATCCAAGCAGTTGTAGCGCTGCTCAGTGTTCGTCCAGTTTTAGCTGACTTCTCTCTTTGTTTTATTGTTATTTTTTGTTATTTTGAAATGCCATTGTTACTGCTGTATACTGTTGTATACCCATTATTAGAGAATACCTGGAGGGTACTTCACTTAGCTATCCCTGCTCAGTGGGAAGTTCTGTGTGAGAATTTCCTGTACCCTGACTTTAGGATTTTAAGATAAGTGCCGTTTGCCCTATGTATGACTGGTGTGCTATCCACTTTTTTAATATAGCAATGTTGTTTTTTACAGATCTTATTTCTTATCTTCTTATCTTCTTCAGTGATGCCAGCCTGCAGCACTTCTCCAGTCATATTTAGGGCTCTCCGACTGTATGAAACCAACCTCTTATCCACGAGTAAGAGGGTTAAATAACTGTATGCTGTCACTGATTTATTCATTGGTTGGTTGTATGGCTGTGGCCACTTGATTGTATTTGTCAGCCAATTGAACTGCCTGGCAAGGATTCGGCTAAACTGCCTTAGCAACAACAAAAAATAGCACAAGTGTAGGCAACCCACTGACTCTCTCTAGTTACCAAAGTTGACGTTAGATTTGCCCTAACCTACTAGTACTGTTAACACCTAGCCTAGCCATTAGCCATGACAGGTAATACACAGTGTCGATGATTATTATTATTATAGCTTAACACTTTTCTAGACTTATTTATTGCTTTGTGTATAATTTGTTGTTTGCTTTGTGATTGTGTTTATGCATTTTTTGTAATACCAGAGAAATGATGCTTTATGTATGCATTCATGATGTCCGTTACGCCACCCAGTAGCTTTAAAAAGGCTCGCGGAGAGGAGAGGAAAGGAGGAAGAAAAAAACATTTTGGCATTCTATATGTATGTTGCCTTATTGGCTATTAGGCCTGGCAGAAATCAGGACTCACTGGATTTTCACATTAAAAGCAGTCTGAACTTTAGTGAAACATTCTCTGTCTGTAGCGTGAGCGCTACTTCCTGCGGTTGCTGTGAGCATACAGTGAGTCTACTCTCCTCTCCATCAAGCCTCACCCCTCTGACTCTAATAACATTTCCCCAATTCTTTAGTGCTGTTATCTGAATACAAAGCAAAACGATGGTGAAAGAGGCGCACGTTCATGGCCTCAGTGTGCGTCAGAAGTATACAAATGTGGGTACACTATGACCATCAGTTTAGGAGCTACACAGCCATCAAAAGAAAGAAAAAAAACTGTTAATGATAGAACAGTGTGAATGTGTGTGTGTCGGGACTGCTGTATTACTGCATTGTGGTGTTAGTGTGTGGAAATTCCTACCTGTTTAAAATCCTGTGTGCTCTCTTCTTCTCTTGTGATGTAAACAAACAGGTGAAAAGGTGACCTTTGTTTATAGTTGATGTTTATCTATCAGAGTTGCCTTGACGACAATGTGTTTGTAGGTTGACCTCTGTTGCACGCTAGCTAGCTAGCTAACTCTCTGAGCGGCGGGTGAAATCATGCGAGTTCAGATGAATCCAGGCAAGACTTTGTTTGTTTTTGTCATGAAATCGACTCATCCTGCCCCGATGAGTCCGGAGACGCTCGTTGCTTGTTGCTGTAGCTCATCGTTAGCTTGACTGGACAGCAAGCTGTTTTTGTAACTTTTGTTAACTTAAAGTCTTATTTATTTTGTTTTTCAAAGCAAAACCTATATTGTGTTGTTTGATATTGATTTTGTTTTACATAATTTAAGTGCATTTATTGTTTACATTCCATGGGGTTATGTTGATATCCTAGCTCTTTATCTTAATATATTTGTCCATCTTTATTTCAAAATAAAAGTCTTTGAAAAATAAGAGCTCAGCTGTCTTGTATCACATTACACTCGCATCATTCTATTATATATACATGTCTGAAGTAATGTAATTAAATAAAGAATGTTTTAGGATTTAAGATATGAATAAGGTTATTTTTAGGTTACTTTTTGAGTAGGACAGCATTTTGAGTAGGATAGCATATGCAATATGCAAAAGAATGAAACACCTTACTGTAAGATGATATTCAGCTCCTCCACCCTCTTAGACATCTCTAATTCTAATCCACATCTATCCACAATCTCAATCCACTCCACATCACACTCTACATAAATACTTACGTTAGTTTTCTGCAAGATCATGTCTCATGACTCAGAAGGAAATGACAAGAACTGACTGATTAGCTCAGCTCGATAAGCAGTGCAGGTAAATACATACATATACAGAATATCCAGAATATGAGGGGATGCATCAACATAGAAGGTGTTGGTTTTAGCGCTGATTTAAACTCTTTGACTTCTTAGCACTAATTGATTCCATTTGAAACTTAATTTGTCTTTGGACTTGCTCAGTTTGCTCTTATATAACTGCAATAAATGGCTTAAATTGACAGTATTTGTTTTGATACTCTTTGCTGTGTAAAATAGACTTAAAATCCATGTAAATTCAGTTAATGTTGGGTTGAGCAGCAAATCTTTGTGGTTAACATGATTGAATAACACAAATGTTGGCGAAGCATTCCCACGAGCATCACTTTAAAATGCTGCTGGTGCTTGTAGGGCCTTTACGATCATCTGTGTCTCATTGACACACAAAAGGAACAAAGATAAACTCTTTCTCTTACTTGCGTTTAGGGAATCTCTCAGCCCTCCCCTCTGTGTGTGTGTTTATGTGTGTGTGTTGTGTGTTGTGTGGGAAGGGGAGTGAGTTTTGTTGCAACTCATCTGAACAGACCAATTTAAAGTGAGTGACACTGAGGAGAATGTTTGGGCAACAGATGCTCGAACAAAGACTTCCCAGCACACAATAGGACACAGAGATACTTGTGACTGATTTCCATCTATTCACACAAAGTGGAGCAGAAGTCGACGTCCTCCCCTCTGTCTGTATGTGTGTGTGTGTGTGTGTGTGTGTCTGTGTGTTGGTTGTATAAAAACTAATAATAACTAAACTAATAAAAATCTACATCTTGAAATACTACATTAAAAGTACATTTCCTGCATTTAAAATAATATGTGTGTACAAGTGCAGAAATGTTATGAGCAAAATATACATGAACTAGCAATAACTTAATATGCTCCTGATGAAGATTGGCCCAGTTCAAAGTGTTGGGCAGTTTAATCTATATCTGTTACAAGCGGCTCATATGTTTTTATGTAAAACCTTAATCTGCAAAGTACAACTGCCAGATGTATATAGTGGAGTAAACAGTACTATTTTCCCCTGTGAGATGCAGTGTAATAAAATTAAACATAGTTACAAATACCTTAAAATTTTACTTAATTACACACACCACCAAAAATTAAAACCACTGTCACTCCCAAATCACCTAGGAGGACTTGAAATATAAGGACTAACATTAAACAACAAATAAATCCAAGCTATTAATATTTTATGGAGTTGTTAAAAGTTTGATTGCATATATATAGCAGTTTATGTTGTAAAGTAATCTCATGCTGGAACTTCTAAAGTTGTTTGTGTTTCCATTAAAAATTACAATGAAAAAAAAGTTTGTATTTAAGAAGCTACAGTGTGTGTGTGTGTGTGTGTGTTTGTGTGTGTGCGCGTGTGTGTGTGTGTGTGCATTCTGTCTCAACGCACAGGCACAAGGAGCAGTTGGGTCCTGTAAGTGTCGTTGTGGTGGTGTGTGTAATGTGTGAGAGTGTGCCAACACTTCAGCAGGGTCAGGCTGAGGATTTCCCTCTGGGAATGAAACAGTAGACTGAAGGCAGGAGCAGGATCCACAACCCCATGGCTACTTACCATTGTACTTACCATCAATACCGTGCTGCTTGTGTGTGTGTGTGTAAGACCTTAAAAAGGCCAAGGGCCATCCCTGTGCAGCCCCTCGACCCCTCCCTCCCCTCCTGGTCATGCAGGCCTTTTGTGTTTCCCTGGTTTCTCTTTTCAGGCTAACATCTGTATGCTAATACAGTTCAATGGGAATGGACTGGAATCATCCTGGGAGAGAGGGTGAGGGGCGGCTTCCCTGTCTGTGTGTGTGTGGATAGAGATGGGTGAATGAAGTGATTTGGGAGAATTCAGCAGCAGGAGGAAAGGGTTTGTGCTGGGCTTAGAGAGAGAAGAGTGAAAAAAATAATTATTGATAAATGGGTAACTGAGGGAGGGAACAAATGGGTTTGGGCGAAGTTTAAAGGAGGTGTGTGTATAAGTGGCTGTGTGTGTGGAGGGGTCTCTGAAATAAAAAATGTCCTTAGATAACCCACAAAAAACATAAGAGTTGTGCTGAAGTTGAGGTAAAAGCTGAAATCAATATTTTACTTCCTCCATGTGGAGGCTGTTTTCACATTCATCTGCTGAAATGGTGAAAGATTCTCTCAGCAAGGTGGCCTCACACTGAATCTGAGCTACAGGTACAGTTTGTGTGATTTAGTGGTATCTAGCAATGAGACTGCAACCAACTGAGAATCCCTCGCCCAACCAAGCATGTAGGAGAAACAACAGCAGCAGCACAACTCATAAAAGGCCCTATCTAGGGCCATTGTGCCTCCCTGTAGAAGAGGACAATGGACACACAATTTTCATAGATATTGTAATATTTTACCAATTTTGACCATGCAATCATTAAAACACACTGGAAAAGTGGTTCCTTTTAGCAAAAAGTGTAAATATATTTTGGAAAATTTGGAAAAATCTCCATTGAGATAACAAGTGTGCAGCACAAGTGGTGGAACTGATCCTGTTCACTGTTGGTTTGAGTTACTGATTCTATTTTGGCCTTTTATGTTAACTGTGTGCTGATGGCAGGTTGGTTGTATTGTTTGTTGGTTACAGTCTCTCTGATTGTACTTCCATCTGCTACTGTGCCACTTTCAGTCCCAATGGGAATGTCCCACTGCAGAGGAGTAGTAAAGTAATACTGCTGCTCCTGAAAATCACTTTTTCACATCCTGCACATTCACATACAAGGCATATGAAAAGACGACATCTGGAGAAGAAGAACCTCTGACAGCACCAGTTGTGAAAGAAGCACTCAAATCTTTGACTTAGAGGATGGGTTCACAGTTTTTAAGTCTGCCTTAAAACAATGGTCAGGTCTCGTTAGGAACACTGAAACAGGTTTTGGTTACTGTGATCATTCCTCCTGTTTATACTGACCTTTAAGAGGTCCACTCCTAATGTGGTTCTAATGTAAGTGATCCCTTGTTCTGTGTAAAATACATTCTATAGCTTATCTGAAGATAGTATGAGGCTTCATCAGTCTGAGTTAATGAATTCAAGTGGGGATCTTCCACAGGTACAGTTTTTGTGGTACCAAATTCCCTCTGTGTGTGTCAGAGGAATAATAACACTACTTGGGATGATACCCACTTGATCTGTCCAACCGAGACTGCTGCATTTTACAGCAAGCAAAACGTGTTGCAGTGTGTAAATGGGCACAGAACTGTGAACCGACCCTTTACTGTTAAGAGGTAAAGGTACCTTCGTTCTTTCACAGTGTGAATTTATTGTTGCATCAGAGCTAACATGACAAATATTTAAATGTAACTTATTTACAGGCTTCATTCTTCTTGTTTTGTCATATGTATAGCAGTTACAATACACACACATACACATATATTAATCATTCAGTATATTCAGTATTTTTAAAAAAGAATGTGAAATGAGTAAGAAACAAGTGCATTAAAATTAAGCTGCAGTGTTCTGTTGTTTTTAAAGAGAATGCACAATGCTCACCTTCAACAAAAACATCTAGCAGTAAGAATATTTGTGCAGCTCCCTCTGTTGGTCTATATGAAGCACAGCAGGTTTACGAGGAAAAACTACATAAATAAATCTGCCTTTTGCACCAAAATGTATGTCCACATATGTTCTTTGCACTGTGCATCCATCTGCAGCAATACAATGCTACAGAACTTTAAGTTCATTGTTCAAGAACTGGCTGAGATCCACATTCATCACTTTACCCTGTAAAACATGTTCAAGTAATATTAGTTCTATACAAAGTTGTGTTTAACTGCCGAACTTGAAGCACATCAAACATATCTGTGCTGTGTGTATGTGTTATTACACTGTGATACACACTACATTATAACTACAATGTGCTATAAACACATGCACAACCAGCAAAAACAAGCTGGTTTCTAATTTGAAGGAAAGACTTATCAGGCAGTAGAGTAGATACAGTAGATACTTCCCTCTGGCAGGAGGCTGCGGTCCATGCAGGGGACCAGGAAAACCTTCTCACACAAGAAACAGTTCTTCCCTGCTGCTGGCCCTCAGTTAACAAGCGCCCTACCCCCTTGTCACCCACCCCTGTATATACGAATGCCACTTACATTAATGCCGACCCCCGTGCTTCTGCACTCAACTTTTCTTTTATTATAAAGATTTGTATATTTGTATATTTTTCACATTCCTCTTCAAAATTCTGATTCTGAGTACAAACAAACAATTTTGTTGAATAATGCATATTAAAATGAACACAAACCTTCTGTAGTGTACTTGAATTATTTTTTTTATTTGTACAAACAAAACTACATAAATGTTACAGTGGGTGACTTGAGAAGCTAGAAGTAAACTGGTTCTCTCATTATGGATTACATTTCTCTGAGTGCTAATGTCCACCAATGACAAAGACCCTGNNAGTACATGCACATTTTAGTTTTTCATAAGTTTTTTCACTTATGTTTTTATAATAAAACATAACAGTAAAAATTTTGTGTTTTTGTTTTGGTGGTGGGGCACTTGAAGGGGGTCTTGCCCAGGGTGTCATTCAAGATAGAACTGCCACTGGTGGGGAACAAATAAAGTGTGTGAAAT